TGGGATTGGTTCAGTACTTAAGTCATCTGCCACCTGCTGGAATATTGTGATGCTGTATTTCCTGAAAAACTTGGAGGGTTTTTTTTCTGTTTCGCTACAGAATGTAATTTTTTTTTTTTTTGGTTGGTTATGTACAGTCGCTGAATTACGAAGTACAGCAAAAACGTGATAAATGCTGTTTAATCTATAATAATTTCAGTCAAGATACAGAGGAGGAAATGGTGTAACTCCCATAGTTTTTTATATGGTGGTAGTGAGATGACTGCTTGGGATCTGTACTTAAACAACTGATTAAGAACAAAATCAAGATAGCCATTGTCTTTCCTGCTTCATTGTCAGAATCCTGTTTTCTGAATTAAGTTGTACAAGGGAATATTGTTTTTTCTCTGAGTAAAGGAGGCAGAGGTGAGGAGTAAATCTGTGTAGTAAAGTTCTGTCACAGAATTGGATTTAACCATGTTAACGTTAAAATTTTATTTAACTATAAATTTTAAAGTCATGACTATGTTAAGGCATAAAATACTATAATCTATTTCAATCTCTGATGGAATCCAGGATGCACATTTTGCTTCATCCAGAATGTCAACAGCTCATGGTTTAAAATGAAAATGGCCCAAAGCAGGCAGGACAGAATTTGCAGAAGTGATCAGTCAGTAGTGCTCTTATTTGTAGGTGTGGACAGTATTTCCTGTTCTGTGTTTATCCAACTAGTTCAATTCCAGGATTACCTGATTTGAAGTTCAGAAAATGCTTGTGAAGGTTCAAAATAAAGGAAAGTTTAAAACCAAGCCTTCCTGAGATGTCAAGTGAAATTGTTAATGGAGAAGGGAGTCCTGAGACTGAGGTCTCTGTGTATGTAAATGCATGAAATTTGGAAAGCCAGGCCAGGGAAGGACCTGAGGAGTTTCTGCTTTGATTTTAAAGGTGGTAAGGGCTGTTTGTGTTGGAAAGACCAATGAAAAAGCCTGTATCTGTTCTAACAATTACTCTTAAACAGGTATTCTAAAACCTAGAAATACACAATGTCTGAAAAAATTCTGTTGATGGAACTTCTTTTAATTTTCTTTTTTAATGTAGAATGACTTTGATAAATTTGTTTCTGCATTCAGCATGTTAAAGAGGTTCTAAGAGGTTTAATTTTGAAATGATGCTCTTGTGCAGTTTAGATGGATTCCAGTTTCCATCTACATGCAAGGAGAGATACCACAATTAAAGATAATCTATTAGAATTCATTGTTTCAGTGTAATTAACAGATGCAATATAAGTGTTGGGATAAATATATGAAATATCACATGCACAGGCCTTAAATGTTGAGATACTTTATTCTCACTTAGCAAAATATGCTACATTGGCAAGAATTAATCTTCTGGAAAATTAAATCACATTTAGGATGTTGAAACTACAAATGCAGTGTAAGGTCAAGATTTTTTTTTAATAACTGTTACTTGTTTCATCATTTAAATGATAAAAATGGTATTTCTTAATTAAAGCAATCAAGTCTGAAGTATTTAGGAATATAATAGACTTTCTATTTCTGGATTTCAATTTTTAATGGGAAGTCTCCATAGCAACACTTGCCAAGGCGATCGCCTTTATTCTTTAAAGGGAAGAAAAAAAATTTTGTTGAATTTATCTATTTCCAGGTTCCTGCTTTCTTGTCTGGGTTTTATTCACTGAACTTAAAATTTCTGCAGGGTCAAATTTCAGGTTCTACTGTTACTCTGTAAACAAACATCCCCCATAATGTTTTTTCTAGGAAATAATTATCTTCCTTGAGTTGGGTGGACTGTCTTCTACCCCTGTTGTCATATCCAAAATCCCTGCTGTGATCTGAAATACTTTTCATGATCTGGAGGTGACCCACTGTTAAATGTGAAAGCGCTAAGCTTACTCAATAGCTCTTTGCTTATATGTGGAAAATTTACCATTTCCTTTTAAGCTGTGTTACTAGTTTTGGAGAATAATGAGTAAAACGTGAGGTGCCAAGATGCAAAATCTTTCCTAGAAATACCAGCTCTTATAATAGTTTCCCATCCTGTTGCCTTTTATTTAGTGCTGCATATGTCTTCACACTCACCTGTATAGAATTACATCAAATACAGAAATATTGGCCAACCAACTCACTTGTTATTTCCTTTTGTATTGAAGGAAACTGAAACATTTCAACTCTACTTCATAAGGCCTCTGAATATAGTAAACACGATTGATATCTGAAGTTAGGGTGATTGGGGTGAAGAGAAAGAGGTATCAATCAAACTGTGTAGTTTTTGAGAGAAGTCTTAAAATACATAGTTTACTTTGATTCCTGTGACCTTTTCCTGTGGCCTTCTCTGTTTTCTCAAGATATTAAATTTTACTCTCACAATTTTCTGAGCAAAATGATTGTTCAAGCTAGCAGTGTGTGTGTTTCTTTGGATCAGATCTGAGGACACTGAGTAAGATCTGGTTCTCACATAATTATTTAAAAACTGATTTTCGGTATTTAAAAATTCTGTCTGAAATAACTGATTTTTACACTTACTGTGAAAAGTGTACTGCAGTCTCAGAAATGGCTAAGAAATCATTCCTGACACTCAACTGTGGCATGGTAGAGTTGAAGGGATAGAAACACATACATAAATATAAAAACTATATATATAGGTTTAGAAGGGAAAAAAACCAAACCAAACCCTGCAGAAGGCACTTTTAGATAACAGGTAAGTGACACCTGAATGCTGGGGATACCTCATAGGTTTATTTTATGGAAGGTTTCCTTATCCTGCAGGTTTGAGGTATGTATATGCCTGATTGATTAACTTTTTCTTTGGTTAAGTGAAGCATTGACCAGTTATTTCCAACACAGCGGATATACTTGCTTTATAGTAGTTTGCCTTTCTTGTATTTAAAACAATGAAAACTTGGGCTGCAAGAAGTGCTGTGTTTGTGGCCCAGCTGATCTCTTGTGGGGGATTTAAGTCTGGTGGTCCACAATTGCAGGCAGTTGCCTGTAGAAGAGATGCTTGGTTTGGAGTGTCCATACACTTGTTGGGTTTGACAAGCTGCTCACCTCTAGTGTGCCTTAATTCCTGGGGAGCAAGATGAAAACTTGCTGTGATTTGTGCTCAAAGTGCAGGTTGTAGTTCAGTCGATATTGAAAAATTGGGTAAGTTTCCTTGAGTGTTTTTGCATTCTTTAATTTTTTTTTTTTTTTCACTTAAATCCTTTCTCATGATTCATATCATGGTGCAGCAGGGGCTGGCAGATCTCTGGGCCTGGGATGTGGGGAGCAGTGCAGGCTCCCTCAGGAGCAGCTGGGCTGGACCTCACAGCCAGACCTGTCTTGCCACCCCAGTGGGGAGCAGGGCCCTGGGGGGACACTGGGGCAACCCAGCTCCGGGTGTAAGGCGTCTGCAGTGGGGCCAGGCTGAGGCTTGGCCAGGCTGTCAGCCTGCAGGTAGCCCCAGCTCAGCAGCACCTGTGACCAGGCTGTGGGGAGCTGGGGCAAGATCAGATGCTTCCCAGAGGCTATTGACATGGGGTCCTGAGGATGTGGGCAGGAACAGCCAGGCCTGGTGATGCTCTCAGGTGCCCTCACAGCATAAAAGCAGACATATGCCATGTGCTGTCATAACCATAACTGATAATATGCAGTGTGCAAGTGGTCTTTCACTGTCATTCAGTATTATAGTAAGTTTTGATACATGAATGTGCACAAAGAACATTCATGTACATTTTCCTAATGCTTACAAGGGCCTTTTAAAGGAGGAAAGTGGTAGAGAAATCAACAGTACTACAGTACTTCACAAGTATATAAAGCTGTTTTATTCTACAGATACGATGTTGTGACTTTCATCTGTAACTGAATAGAGACACAAGAGCTTCAAGATAGTCTCTTGAAGCTAAGACTTTTTTTTTAATTGCTCATAGAGGCATCATTAATGTTTTGAGAAATTGAAATCTTCATTTGATCAGTTTAAACAGAATCTGCATTTAAACAGAAATAATTTCAATATCTATACATTTCTTAAACTCCACCTCTAATATTCTGATCTTTGTGTGTATGTTAATGGTTGACTAGAATTCAACATATACTGTTGGTAAATACACGGTGCTTTCCATGTATCTAATGAGGGCTATATGTAATAGTACTTCTTTTATGTAACTGTTATATGATCAGAAAACACATAAAGCACAAAAGTTGCCAGATAATTTTTTTATATGATAAAAGCCAATTTATTAAGAATTTAAAACAGAAACCACATTTCAGTATAAAATGTCAAGCACTTTTAACCATTAAGATCCAACTTTTGATGAATCAGCACCTAACTGGTCTCTAATTTTTTCCTCCCTGCTCACACAGAAGATCAATGTAGTAATCTGACATCAGAGGGAGGGTAAACACTCCAGGAACGCAGCTGGTATTTTCAGGTCTTATGCTTAATTCAGCTTGGAAGCTCAATCCCTCTCCTGCTGTAATTTTTAAGGACTACAGCAGAGCCAGGGAGGGGTCCACACTGTTTGTATATAAACAAAACACATCTTGCTGGGGATGTTTATGAGACACAACCTGTTTGCAAACTGTGTTGTTAAGGCAAGTATGTGTGCCTGGAAAATTTAGCACAATTGAGAAGTCTCGGGCTGTAGTTTTACAGCAGTTTTAACCTATCCATACAGTTAAGACTGAGTTTTGATCCCTCTCCAGCACCTCAGTTTTTATTTGAGCTACTTCAGCTCATTAAACCAACACAGAGTTACCCACTCTCTTGGATTTGGCTAGGCTTCTGCTGTTTTAGTGAACTGAAGCTGGTCACTTGGGTATCAAACTAAGTCCAGGAGATGTGCAAGGGAAGAGATGAGTTTATCATAATGCCAGCTGTACAGGCACAGATTTAGGCTAGATCTGGACTGGAACTGTCCTTCTCTATTTCATACATCATTAGATCATGAAATTCTGGGTCAGGTTTGGGTTGTTTTTTGGGGGTTTGTTTTTTGGTTTGTTTGGTTTTTTTTTGGTGCTAACGATGAAAATCTGTGGTTTCTAACTCCATGTCTTCTATAATTCTGTTTTAAATAATGGAATTCTTCTGAACCTGGAACATGCAGTATGCACAGACCCTCCTGAAGGTCAAAACCAAAGGGTTTTGCATGAGTCCAGGTGAGGTGGGTATACAGCAGAATATCCTGTGCGAAAGAAATGCCACTCTGCCCCCCAGCTGGTACCATATAAAAGTGTTAGTACTGCCATTAGCCAAGGGAGTGCTTCTGTACCGCAGGCAGTACAAATTAAAAGCTGTACAAAACAGCTGAAGGGACAGAGGTTTAGTCCAAACTCCTTTTATATGTCCTGTTCATAACAACTGTCCACATGTGCTAAACATGTAATACATAGATCCAGAAATAAAATCTGGATCTTACCCAGTGTATGAGAAATAAACCTTCATCTAGTACTCGTCGTCATCATGCAGGTCTTCCCCTGCAGTTGCAGCTTCCAGTGCAGCCAGAGCTGCTGCAACTTCTGCATCTTCCTCCTCCATTTCTCCATTGATGTCTTTATGGTTGGGGTGTGTGGGTTCCTGTGCTACTCTGGTAACAGCCACGGCAGTGATACCACCCATAATGCCCGCACTCAAACTTCTGGAGTCAGTTTTAAAAGGTCCAATACTGCTCTCCTTCATAGGTGGAGGTGGGGTCACACAAAGGTCCTGGTCCTGCACTGCTGAAGGCCCAGTGTTTTGGTCTGAGTGTGCATAATTGACTAAAAAGCTGTCTTTTTCAACATAGTTCCTGGTTTGGGGGTAATTAATATCTGGCAGTTGTATGGCATTGTTTTGTGTCTCCAGTATTGCACTTCCTTTAAGAAAGATGATGTCCTCTGCAGACTGGGAGTTCTCATCTTGAATACTGTTTGGCTCATTGCATGTTGCCTTCCTCTGCCAGCCCACCTCTAGGTCAAGTTCTTGTCCAGACCTATTTGATCCGGTGTAAAAGTCTCTACTGGCTGAAGAAGCCTCTGACTGGCTAGAGGTTTCCTGTTCACTGGCCTCTTTCACTGGGTTTGTGTTGGGGTTGAGCACAGGGTGCACTCCAGCACAGGAGGTGCCACCATTGACTGCAACATCAAGCTTTGCAACACACTTCAAAAGGCCTTCCTCTTGAAAATCATTGCCTCCATGGTTCCAGAGAGTTTCTTTTCTGCTATTTATCTGACTTTTATTTTCTGTTCCATTCAGCTCATCCTTCTGGAGTTCATTTTTATGTTCTTGAATTTCACTGTTCTCTTTGGATTTATTGCTGCCTTGCTCATTGTGTTTATAGCTGCTTACTTCATGAACGCATCCAGGTGATTGTACTTCTTCTGGATCAAAAATGTAGCTGGAGAAATTTACGAAGAAAATGTTAATTATGGTGTTTATAAATCTGATTAGAAAAAGAATTAAGCTTAATTTTTAAGCTGGAGACCTTGAGTAACTGCTGTCACTAAACTTTACCTGAGATTCTGAGCATGAATTAGACCAAATGGAAATGCTGAACTGTGCTGCTCTATCCTGGGACTGATTATAACTAACCCCTGGATTGGCCAGGAGCATGAGGAGGCTGACAGAGCTATGCGCTGGTGGTTGTGTGTTTTCAGCTTTATGTTTTTATTTTCTCAAGGGGGGTGCTGTTGATTTGTTGATTAGCAAATGAGTAGTAGTCATAGATTGTTCATTGATATGTCTTCATGTTGTTGCTAAAATATGCCCCATTTTTTCCCTGGTGTTCTTAAGTGTTACCATTTTGCCCTTTTCTAGGCTTCCCCCCCCCCCCCCCCCCGTTTTTCCCTCCTCTTTCTTTTAGAATCATAGAATAGTTAGGGTTGGAAAGGACCTTAAGATCATCTAGTTCCAACCCCCCTGCCATGGGCAGAGACACCTCACACTAAACCATCTCACCCAAGGCTTCGTCCAACCTGGCCTTTTCTTACTTAAGTTTTTCTCTTGCTCCATATTTTCCTTAACTTATTTCTTCCGTAGCCTCTTTTCTTTGTCACCGCTCTGTGTTGCATAGCACCAGTTTATTTTCCCATTATCACTTTTCCCACAGAGATGTGGTGAAGGGAAGAAGTAACCTCCAAGTGGGGCTGAAGCATTGTTCTTCTAAAAAATAGCTAGTCTTCCTCTCAAGAGATACTTTTAATGTGGGAATTGTTCACACAATTAACTACATTTAAAAGCTATGATGGAAGTAAGGATCTGTATTTAATTTCCATTGTTTAGGAAACAGATCTGACAAAGTCTGTGCTCCCTGTTCTACTGAAGTGAAGGGTGCTAGAGATGAATTTTCGATGCCACACAGATTTTCTGTGGGATAGGAATGATAGCAAAAAGACCTGAATTACAGTAAATCAAAAGGACATTCAAAGGACATCAGTATGCCTATGCTCTGGCAAGACTGTAAAGATACTGTAAATCTGGAGGAAAACCCCAACTTTGTAAATAGGCTTAATTTAAGCAGCAGGTATAGAGGAGCACAGACACATCTTTTAATGCATTTCTTTTATTGGGTCTAAGCAAATCTTGTTTGATTGTACCTTTGTATCATTTTGCAGCATCTGCACCCCATCTGGATTTTCTTTAATCTGAAAAGAGAGAGAGGGGAGGCAAGAGGGTGAGTGAAGCATTATGAAATTAATTTATGGGCAATTGCATTGAAAATGATGCTTATGTTTAGAAGGGGTCTATTATCTAAAAACAAAGATGCCTACACAAGAATGGATACAGTACAGTTCAAGGACTTTCTAGGTTTCTATCTTGAATTGACAGCAGCTTTCATTTGGGGAAAACCTGGGGAAGAATTTAACAGTTCTTAAGCAGTGGTGTTATCCTAGGATAGTTCCCTAAGCGTCTTTATGACTTAAGAGACTTCTAAGTCAGAGTCAAAATAGTTGGTTTCTGTGTTTTGCTTGTGGGGTTGGATTTTTTGTGTATTTGGGTGTTTGCTGATGTGTTGGGTTTTTTCTTTTTTTTGGCAGCTATTGATGGACTTTTCTTCCATTAATGTGTCCATCTGTATTCTGAACTCCAGTAAACTGCTAGTGTCTACAGCATCCTGTTTCACAGCCCAGCCTTATCTGTGTGAAGAAGCACCTGCTTTTGTTTGGCTTGAACCTAGTTCTTCCTAGCAGTATTTGATGCCTTCTAGTTCTTGTATTGGAACAGATGGAGAGCATCATGTCCTGTTGTCACTATAGTACAGGTCCAGTACTGCCCCTTCAGTTCTGATATGCAGTCTGAAGAATCCTCATCTTTCTAAATGTTCCCCATTCTGACATTGTTTCATGCCTGTAGATGGTTCTTGTGATGATTCTCTGGGTCTTCTGCATTTCAACATCCTTCTTAAATGAGGTGTGGGAACCACAAAAGCAGAGTTCACAAGGTGTGGGAAACCACAGATTTATTCTTTCCTCAGTTGGCTTTGTGACAGCTACTGAGTAGAGGTGACATTTTTGTGGAAATGTCTCTTAGACACAGACATATCGCTGTGATTGGCACCTTATTATGTGATGTGTGTGTTGCACCTGCATTTCACTAAAGTAAACTTCTGAGTTTGACTAGAACTGCAGAGAATTTGCATTCTGTTACATCTCTGAGAACTTTTTGTGCATGTGTGTCATTGCCTGACCCTGTGAGATGCTAAGAGTTAGCTATTACATGGTTCAAATACTAAAGTCTTTTATTATGGAAAGAAATGGTTTGCCAATTTGGATCCTTGAGAACTTTCATGTTCTGAACCTAAAGTGAAGATACAGGTCTGAACATCCCAAAATCCTAGAAAAAAAGTTACTATCTTTGGGTTGGGGCTATCTTATTTCAAGTTGATCAAGTTGGGGCGGGGTTTTAATGTTTTGTCCATTGTTATTCAGGCCCTTTCATTTCCTCTTGAGATGTTCTACCACCCTTTATACTTTTGCCATTGCCTAAGGACAGTAGTTTACTTCTCATAAAACAGAAATGGATGATACAAGGTCAGAGTATTTTCTAGAGTGATTTATTCACAAAACACTGAAGGAAAATAGTATTGATTTATTCTTACCAGGCATAGCCTGAACTGCATGCTAGTGATATGCTAGCAGAAATTAAATTAAAAGTTTGTTGTGTGGGCTTACTGTTTCACTTCCTCCCTCCTCTCTCCCTCCTGTATCTGGTGTTAGCACTAAACAAAATGCCTGATGTCAAGCCCATCATTCCTGGAGCCTCTAAGGACCTACAATCATTTAGCAGCTGGGTTTAGCTCCCTTCTGCATCTCTGCTGATCTTGTGCTGCAGGTTGTCAACCTCCACCCCTCAACAACGTCATATTAGGAATACTTATACAGGGTTTTTCATCTGAAGAGAATGCAATAACTGGTAAGGTGGTCATTTGTACTGACCAGCCTTATGTGCAGTTGCTTTACAGTACAAGGGCATTTGGACGGGTTTGTTCAGGTACAGGCTGCATTTGAGTTGGCTGATAGCCATCTTTTCCAGCCAAAGGGGAATTCTTCATGCTATTTGCTTGATAATGTTAAAGGCTGAATTAGCTGTAGGCCTTCTTTAGGTTAAGACTGATTTGAAGCTAATTCACTAGAGCTAAGCCCTATGTGGACACTTGTATTGCTTTGACTAACACGTTCGGTTTTAGCTTAAACCTACTTATAAACTGAAAGAATAAAACCTGTATAAAGTTGAGCAGCTGTTGAAGATTGAGTCTAACAATTCTCAGTAGCTGATGGGTTACCACTATCATAACTTCAGTTGCTGTCAGTTGCCATAAAAGCCCACTGAAATGCCCACATGGCCTGTGGCTTGGCTTTAAAGTTCATAGGTTTGATGAAACCAGTCCCAGTTTGTATTTTCTGAGAACAGATACTGCTTCTAGCTGGGTGTGGGTACTGCTTCTGTTTATCCTTTTACGTGACAGATTTCCTACTCAGTGCTTTTATGTGTGATTTTTTTTTTTTTTTTTTTAAGCATGATATCTTGCTCATTGGTTTTAACCATTGGGAAATGCTAATTCCTGTCCTTTCTTCTGTTGTAAAGACACTTGTGATAATCATAGAAGGCAATTAGAAATGGAAATTACTGTTGTTTTTCATAGGAAGCACTTTCCTAATTGTTGGTGGTACTTTGCTTTTAGTTTAATTACAGTCCCTGTTTGAATCCTCTCTGCAGCTACTGCATTAAGCTTTAAGCTTTTCCACTGATTAGTTACAACTGGATCTGTCCTTTGGCATGAATAAACTATTATATATGGAAAATGCTTTATGGTGTATTATCTTATAAATTATTTCACATCTCAGAAACTGAACATGGTTTTACAATGTTGTTTTCTGAACATTGGTTTGTTTTTTTTCCTTTGCCCTTTTCTTCCATATTTATAACAATCAAGTCAAGTTGCAAAATAATTCTTTATATATATATAAAATAGCTTTATAGCATGAAAAGGCATGCTTTAATTGTACTTGTTTTGGATACCTTGCTCTAAAGACTTGTGTATTGTGTGATGTTCATAGTTCCGTTAATGGATAAGTAGGTTTAAAAAGCTCCTGTCTGGAGCAGTTTGAGCCAAGCGCATGCTACAGACTTGCAATAAAAAAGGGTTAGAGAGCTCAAGCAACAGGTGATATGTTATACAGTACTCAATTTAGAAACATTGCATCCTTTTATGCTCTAACCTCTTTTGCCTTTTTATAAAATGTGTATTTATAAGTTAGATATTCTTTGCTGCTGAATTGATTAGATAATTTCAGATGAACATGACATGGTGTAGAATGCTCCTTTCAGAATGCTCTGGGGGCTAGTTTCCCCCCCAAGAAAGGCTGCCTGTGTCTAAAGTGCCTAAATCCTTGGTGCTTTAACATTTAGAGCTTCACAATTCAGATCAAACTGCCATTAATCCTGGATATCATTCTTTCTAGATCATGAAATTCCCGAAGGCTTGTAAATTTGTCACTGGTATTATGCAGTCATTTAATCCTGAATGTTAACACATTATCTGTCATTGAAGGTCTACTAAAATGTTAAGTACAGATTTTCATATTTTTTTAGACACACACTGGAACACTTGAAACATTCACAGGAAGGGGACAGAGCTGCTCAAGGTGAGAAGAATTGAAGGAGACCTAGAACTATTTTTTATACTCTGCTAAATTGTAAACTGTTACTTCCTAGCTTTGAGTTGCTGCTGAATTTCTGAAGAGTGCGTCTGAGGTTGAGCGTGTACCAGTATCTATAAAATAATGAGATTCTTGCCACATTAAAGAGTAGGACAGCCTTGTGATTTGCATATTCAGTGTCAGTGCCATTTCAGTTAATGATAGCTTTCTTCAGTAAAAAATGTGGAAGAGGCCCAAATCTGTGTGTGTTTGCCCCAGCTGCTCCAGCAGACCTTTAGCTGATCATGCAAAAGATAGTCTAGGTATCTTTTAGATATCACAAGTCTTTAGAGCAAGGTATCCAAAACAAGATGAGAAGGATTAAAGCATGTCTTTTCATGCTATAAAAAATATAAAAGATAGTCCTTGCCATGAATTAAACGAGTGTTCACAGAGAGACCAGGGAGACCTGATGTTATGAAAGAGTGACTTTCTTCCTTTAAAGGAAAGTGATGCAGAAGAGCAACTATTTCAAAATCAGTTGGGGAAAACCCTACTATGGAAGGAGGAAGTAATTAGACTTAATTAGAGGAAAGCAGAACACCAACTCCCTTAGTAAAACATTCTGAAAAACTGGGGGGTTATTAAATATTTTTACACTGCCACCTGCTAAGAGTGAAATTGGACTTCTCTGAAGTGTGAGACCTTGCTGGGGAAAACAAAACTAGTGTCTGACTCCAGGAAGATAACTTTGTGTTTCAAGCCACAGAGTGCTTTAAGAGATGTATGCTTTGCTTTATCAGACTTGAGAAGCACAATGTATCTGATTTTAAATTATGAAATAGCATAGCTTCTATTGTGTTTTTAAACTGTAGCTGTGTTACGAATAAACAAAAGACAAATGGAAGGTGGTGCCATGAACAGTGAAGGAGAAATATTTTTGAGAAATAAATGGGTTGACAACCTTTCTCAATATTCTTGGAAGTTTACATGGAAACAGAAAAAGTCCAATCTTATTTTTATTCATGGAGTGTTTTTTCTTCTGTCTTGATTTATTTTATTTTATTTTATTTTATTTTATTTTATTTTATTTTTTTTTTTTATTTATTTTATTTTATTTTATTTTATTTTACTTTACTTTACTTTACTTTATTTTACTTTATTTTACTTTATTTTATTTTATTTTTTAAGCCCCATCCGGGAGCAGAGGCAGAAAGCTGAGGGGAGAGTATATTAAAATAGCTCTTCTAGTAGGTCTCAAATTGATAAACTCTGGCTTGGTGACTTTTGATCTGAGTCATTCTTTTTAAGCCAGATGTGGGTTTTGTTGTTTGGGTTCACATACACACACCAGTGCTTTATCAGCTTCTGCTGTTTCTTAGGCTTCTCCTCCATCCTTTCCTGCTCTAGATTACAAAGCAAGGTGTTTTTTCCTACATGTGCATTATCTGGGCTGCTGAGCCTGAATGACACACCTTCCAGGGGCCTGGGGCACCTCTTTCTGG